GTTTGACTTCAAACGTGCCCTGCAATGGCGCAACTTGGGCATATGACATGAAAAGGTCTCTTTTTATTTGTGCCTCCCCCAGAAGGACACCCCTTGCACGTGTATAGAATTGTGTGTGTGCATATGTATGCACGAATATCATCATATATGCAGTACAGGCATGTGGTATTGTGTGTATAGATATACTCATTCAAGTACATGTACGCGCCACACATGCTTGCTTCCTTGGCCACCCTGACCTCGTTTGTTCTGGCAGGTTTGGATCTTTATCCTGTAGGGTCTGCAACCATAGGTCGGTACTTCCTTGAAGTTGCCAGACCTAATGTTGGACCGTGCCGGGTAGACAGTATTGACTGGTCTGCAATGAGTACGGAGCGGCTTGAGTCCTTCCCCACCCACTAACACTTACACTTACATAGTTAAATGAAAGTTTTGTTGAAACACCCCACCCGTTAGAAGCACTTGCATGCATGGCTTCCTTCAGCCCACTGAAATTATTTTTATTATCTGAACCGAAACGGCACCATTTTCATCCGCGCATTCGACCACAAATTCGGAACAACAAGCTACAAAATTGACCATAACCACACACAGAAAAAGAAAGCTCCGGGCCACAGACTACAAAACAGTCCACAACAAGCACACGCAGCAAATACCACCAACTACAAAACACGGGGGCAACACGTAAAACACGATTTTCGGGCCACGAGCTAGAGAATACGACCACGCAAAAGAAAACAAACACATTGCCTGAAGGCCATGTCTCTGGGAAGTATGGGCAACTGTGAATCGTTGCCCGCTCAGTTGCGTCATGGTTCATGAACAAACTATCCAGGATCGGCTCAAGGCATGTATGTCATGATTGCGGGAACTTAATCAAAGTAATCATGCCACCTACAATGTTGATTCATGGGCTGATCTGGAATAATTGTGGCAGGAGCATTTCCATCTGGCTTTGTGTGGACCCCTTGTCGGACTGCACATAAGTCCGGCGGCCCCACAATATCCTGCACTTAAGCATAAGTACGTGGCTGAGACCCAAACACTGATGACCATTGCGAATGACCAGACAGCTCCAGAGCATATCGAGGGCACTACATTTTTCCAAGAACACTCCAAGAGGACCTGGATGTCAAGAACGCTCCGAGAAGACAACTTGCAAAAATCTTGTGATGTCCATAGTCGCAAAGATTGCGATCTTGAGAATCCAAAATCATCACTAGAATCAGGGATCGCGACCTCAAAGCACACGGGAGACGACCATCGCCCAGACAGCGAATGAGACAGACAGCAAACAAAATGTCATTAGAGGAACGAAAATCGAACGTAGTTAACTGGCAAAGAACTGGAAAAGGGTCAAGGCAAAAAAGGTAAAAGAAACTGGCAAGTTGACGGAAAAGGCAAAAGCAAAGGCAACTGGAAAGGCAAAGCTGGAAAAGGGAAAGCAAAGTCTGGCAAAGAAACTGCGTAGGCACGCGGATGTGAGAGCAAACAGATTCCTCTGCCCTGAACGTACAAACTGGGCAGTGCAAGCACCGCTTGTATAATCCCTTCCCCCTAATATTAAACGACGTCCCCCCCTCCACCCCACCACCGTAATGTTAAATTCTTCGGGGCCTAAAAAAATATCTTATCTTAGGTGGGGAGGGTGTATCTATTATTTTATTTAAAGAATTAGATAGGGCTGCCTTAAAAGACATTTTACGCTCCATGGGAAGTCAATATTTCCTGAATTAAATCAATTAATCAACAATATCAATTTATGTCTGAACCTTCAGTCATTTGAGATCATTTGATGACTTAATCACTTGACCAGTTAATTGATAATTTGAGAACCCCCCCAATTCATTATTAGGCGACCCCTTTTAAAGTAGTCTTGCCCTTTTAAAAGTGCTCTTCCAGTCCAGATCTTTGGGCCCCTGAATTGAATATTTAAGATTAGTAACCAGGGGGGTGTAATAATACGGGGAACGGATTGTCAAAGTCCCGCGTACCTAATATGTGCGACTAATCGCGTCGAATCAGTTCGAACACCAAAGTACGCAATGCTGTACTCCCGGTACCTGCGCTCATGGGAACCCGAGCGTGCTAAAATCTCCATTCAGGGAAGGTCCACCCACTGCCTTCGCGGCAGAGCATCTTTTCCACTGGGCGGGAGTGGCCCTGCCAGGGTTGAGATCAAGTTGGTAGCCAGCTGAACGTGCAGGACTTACAAAAACCACGCTCTGAACATTCAGGTTTCACTTTGCTGTATTAGTCTGTGACAAAGAGTATATACATTGGAGAGGTGCGCTTCGTGAAGTGTAAACCTCCGGCTCTCGGAAAAGCCTTGTTCCGTTGCGAAGTCCTCTAAGCGCAGAAGAGTGAACACTGGGCCTTGTAAGGCAAACATGCAGCAGTCGCTTTGTTACATTACAGGTACTCACACAGACAGCCGTGCCAGTGAAAATGATGGCCCCTCTTACATTGTCTCCCGCGTGGGCATCGCTTGAAACCCTTCAAATCCGTGCAGAGGTGCGTATCCCTTGGATCTGCGTGGTGCCTAGCTCAAGCTTTTGCTGTTTGGGTGGCCGGCTGGACTTCTTGTAACCGGCTGAATCAGTGAAATCAGCTGAAATTGCTGCCGCGATCTGGAATTTACCTTTCAATCATCCTTGTCTAGGACAGCTGAGAGCGTTCTGCATTCCCCATTTGCCAAGCTCTTTCTTTGTCTGATTCTTCCTCTACAGCTTCTCATGCTTACGCTACAGGCAGTTGACGCGTTGAATCCAGGGTATCATTCTTGGAAAGAAGCTGTCTCCAGCTCATCGCGTAGCACCCGTGACTACTTGTAATCTGTTCAGACTCATGTTCGCGTTTGCGTAGCATCTGATGGCAAGCATTCATCCTCGTCTTGGCGGCACTCCTTTGTTACCTTGCAAATGAAATGCAAAGTGGCTGCCAAAATCTAGCTAAGCTTTGATGGTCATTTTACAGCGTGACACTCTGCCGATCTTGGGGAAGAGTTGCGCAGGTCATGACAGCTCTGGCGAATGCACCCTCCAACACTGAATCCAATAAGATGCTGTTAATGACTCTTTGCCTGTTTTGAAGGCATAACACGATGACTACGTAAGTTGCATTTCTATGTTGCAGGCATGTTGCCGTGGTGATTGTGACTGCAAAGTTGAATACTGCTATACGACAGAGAGGGCCTTGAGGTCCGAGTCGTGGCCCCGGCCCATGGCTGGGCGAACAGCCGTGCATCAAAGCGAAGCGAAGAAAGCGAGGCAACGCCGAAACTTCCAAACATTTAGCGACTTCTAAGAATGTCCTTCAAACAATTACTTTCGGTTTAACGGAAGCACCACAGAGGATACCACGTGCCACCACATGCTCCCACAGCGTGGCTTTTTGGTTGCTGATAGGCGCTCACAGCAGCTGGATTTGCGGTGGCTACCTGAAGAAAGAAAGGTCTTCTGAAAGTCATGCACGTGCGGGTGAGACATCTTGAGCCCGATCGCAGGAAAATGAGCTTCACAAGACAATGGTCAAACTAATTTTCCAATGGCTACTAGACTGAATCGAAAGCTGTCGCAACCTCGCGCTCAGAAAAGCTTATCAGCACTTGATGCTGTGAGGTAATGTTTCCGCAGAGGCACTGGCTCAACACACCAGTGGAACGTGCATGGTTGAAAGAGATGCCGTACACAAGCATTTCCCATGTGCATGAGCAGGGGAACGTTCAGTATGCTACTTGGCATCTGCGGGATTCTGCAGACTTGGATGGTCTCATAACATAACATCACTGGCAGGCATCTTCGTGTGTTCATGCCGCGTTCTTCGCTTTCCGTCTGATTGCAATCCTACGAAAGAAGTAGTGAGCATGTGAGATCATGTTCTATTTGGTAGCAACTGTGGGCTTCTTGAGGTAGCAGCCTACGCTCCACAGCTCTGAGCTGGCAACGGCAAGTGAACAGTGCTCCTTGCCCTTAGGCCAGCACTGTGCAGCACGGTGCACAGCTGCAACTAGAGACTGCATTTTGACCTGTGCTCATGCCAGCTTCTCTGACTTTGGCTTGACGAACCCCTTTCAAAAGGCCCCCGCATATGACCAACCCCCCGACAGCAGAAAAGGTTCAGGAGTGCTTGTACAAGAATGAACCTAAAACTTCAGCTGGGAGAACCAAGTTTTCCCCCACAGCACGCAGGCTCGGGTGCTTAATGTGAAACCTGGCATATGCGACATCTGGCCTGCAAGCTAGTGGAGAGACACTGGAGTATGCCAACGAACTCACCATATAATCAGGGTTAGCAGTAAACAAAATGGAACCATCTCTTGAACTGCCGCAATCCATGGAGGTTTGCTGCAGACGGGTCTTCTGTGACACGTCTATCGGATATCGTGAAACTCCTGCACTTGGTGCGGCCACTCACTGGGCCAGTTACATGCAGAAATCTTTCTCTGACAGCAGAGACACTGCTCAACATCTGCACACCGAACTTAGACAGTCTGGACGACAGTTTGTTAGCTTGCGGAGTGATCACATTAGCAGCACGACCGGCAACAACCTCAACAGGCAAAACCAGCCAAAAAAGGCAAAAGCAATGGTACATGCCTGAGTCTTTGCACAACCCCATCTCAACGCGAAGCTTCTCATGCGTCATGCTAGTTCGACTGCAGAAGTCGTAGGGCTGAGCTTTGGCTATTTGCCGTTGTTACGCTCTGACTCACATCTCTTCGCGGAATCGCAACAAGCCCATTTGCAATGGCGGCATGTCTGTTTGCAGGTTCGAGTCAGCGTCGAAGCTGCAATGCACAAAATGTCGATTCTACTGATTCTACAGTATAGGTGATTGCACAAGCAAACATGCGGAACCTGGGAAAGCCTGCACTCGCTTGCTGCAGCCGCACTCCGCGCGAACTCTCCAATGCCTTCTTACCATCCATGCGCCTGAACAAGCCTCTACACTGAGCAATCCCAACCTTGCCAATCCAAGTTTTCAAACGCCGAGATGCGTTAGAAGAAGTCGAATTTGGCATGCGATCTTCTTGTCTCAGTTTGCTGGGGATGCGGTGCCTTGGCCTGCAAAGTCATGTGAACACTCACGTATCTACAAAGTCATGTATCTGAAATTGTGGCCCACGAGGGCCCACGCCATGCTCAGGCTGGGAATGCTTCTTGCATCCGCATATGCTAAACCGAAAAATTCTACGCTGTAAGCTGTACATCAACAAACCTTGGATAGTAGAGACAAAAGCATCCAGAAGTTTGAAACTTCCTTTCAGCATCGCTTGGCGGCACTTGGCCTCACATCGCTGAATCTCCACAATGCTCCGAAGATCTCTCCTGAAGAGTCTCCACTTGCCCTGTTCATATCAATTAGAAGCGATTGTCGAGCCATGGGACCTTTTGGACTGAAAGCTTCTAGAAATGTTGACAGCCTCAGCACACCCAGGTTCGTGGCGAATGTCTCCCCCAGAAATGGACGATGCAAACATCTGGTTCGTTGCTGCTGACTACAGCTCCTTCTCCATCCCGCTTCAACATGAAGAGATCCGCAAAAGAGTATGACCCATTCAAGAACGATGAGGCAACATAAAACTGACACTGGGCTCGACGCAACAGGCTCATGCTGCTTCACCCTGTCACAAGATGTCATCCTAAGTCTTGGCTGAGCTGCTGCAAGTTATCAATTTGCTTCGTCACGATGAAGAACTGTGGAGCGTTCCACTCATCAAGCATCTGGAGCTTGAAGCCTCCTGTAGAAAAACACGTCAGGCCACTAGCAGCACAAACCGCATAGGCCAATGCCTGTCTCGCTGATAAGCTAATTGCTTCGTTTAAATAGCCTCAGAGTCCGTAGGCCAGAATCCTGATAGCATGTCTGAGGTTTCGTGCTGTGTGGCAGAAGCTGCAAGACGAAGTTCTTGCGTGGCGCAGCATGGCTAATGGGAAGCTCTGCCTCCTCCGCCGCCTCCGCCTCCCAGACATGTGATGTGACCACGCCCATCTTTTGGAAGTACATCATGCAATTGCACACTGACAGCGGCTGCGCTTGGAGGGGCGGAGGCACGGAGACACACAGACACAGAGCAACTTCCCTAAACCTTAGACCCGCCTCCCAGCAGACCGCCTCCTTGTGCCTCCTGCTTGTTTACTTGCTTTGCCTTGGACATGCAGTGGTTTGCCTCCAAATGGTAGGAGGTTTCGGGGTCAGTGCTTTTCACCTTGTTTCCAGAAATCACTGCCGCACGCTGCGTACACTTCTTCTGTTTTCATCGGGGTTATAAGGTGGAAAGTCAAAGCTCAATTTGCCGCAGGCTCCGGAATCTCAGGAACTACCTTCCAGAATCCAGGTGCCTTGAGAGTATTCTTGGTCCGAGCAGCCACCACATTGCCAGCAGCAGCACCCGCAGCACCTTGTTTGTGCTTTCGCATGCTGAAAGCGATGCTAAGTGATGGCGTCTTGGCAAATGGCCACTGGATGGCGTGTTCATGTGGCAGCAGACGTTTCTATTAAAGCAGGGAGCCATACGCTTCGTGGTTACTTCAGGCAACTGATGCTTGCTTGAGCCGGCGAACCTCCAAGCAAGCCTGCCATCTTGCAGTTCATATTGCACAGCTCCTTTTCAATGGTGTCCACCTTGCGGTGTCCAAAGATGAGCAACTACAGCCAGCAAATACTGAAGCTTCAACAGAGGCAGAGTCTGCATCAACAACCACAATGCCAGACTGATGCTAGTGGATGTCTCATACCTCCGGGTTGGTCTGATACACTGCCAAAGATGAAGCTACTAGTTACTAGTAGCTCCACTGCGTCATTTCAACCTGAGTCAGAGCAGGAAACCTCGCCAAACAGTGGCCTACAGGAGGCACTCAGAAAAACAAGTGCTTACTAAGCCTGCTGGGAAAGGAAGTCAAATAAACGGCGACACACATGCCTGTGCTCGACTGGATCAAAAGAATGTTCCTGGGGCACTTGCAGAAACTTGCAGATACAGCTTTTGCAGCCTTCCCTCAGCTTGTTTTTCTTGTCCACGCTTTGTGGAGGCAGCTTTGCTCATCGTTCTGCAGACGCTTGGGCAGCCGTGTTGTCAGCTCTCAGATTCTATTCAGCTGTGGTCTACCCTCTCAGATCTTCTCAAATGCTCCTCAGCTCTTCTCATGAAAGATGTTGAGCGTTCTGTGACTTTCGTGGTTCTCTCTTTCTGCGTTTCTCCTTCCCTGCGATTCCAAAATACAGTTTTCGCCCCCAGTGAAAGACTTTGAGGCTTGGATAGATGACTGATCCAGTATTGATCAGCTTGCCCTGCGACTGCCCTTGAGCTGCCACCTGTTTCTCCATCTTCTTCATGCTGTCCTCCTCTTCTTCCTCCTCCTCTGCATCTTTCCTTGGATTTCGGAATGAATTTGGGGAAATCTTCTGGACGGCGGCAACTTGGAACACATCCAACACGCACCTGCGCCCGAGCACTACTTACTGTGCTACTCACAACAAATCACGGCTGCCCGACACATACTCTGCTTCGCCAAGCTTCTCGTCTTTTTTGCTCAGCATACCTGAGCAGATGACATCGCTGCAAGGTGGCTTCTGCATACACAGCCCATCTGGTGGCCAGGGGTCCCTCAAAGAAGCGCATCAGACCTTTCTGACATCACATGCCCAGCAAACGCCAGCGCGACTTGTTGCACAGGGCTGCTGAAGGGATTCATGGCTCCGATCATGCCGGAGAGTGCACCTCCAGCACCTCCCGGGCACTTGGAGGCACCTGGGCACCAGACAGATTCAGAAGAGAGCAACAAGCAAAAAGAGGCCAACTGCCACGGGATTTCTCGCAGGCGACATCTGCTGAAGGGGCAAGTCTGAGTGATTCATTCTCATTCCACACTTGATTGAACGCTATGTCAATCACCAGTGACGAAGTGATGCCAAGCAACAAATGATGGTTGACAAGTGCCACGACTCGTGACAAACCCCTCAAGAACAGGCTTGGACCTTGACTCGCTCAGGCTGACCTTCCTGAAACCATCGCTTGTGCCGTGCAATCTCAGGGCTGCCAGACATTCTTTCGGTGAATTGACGCCAACGGCCAACGGCTCAAAACCAAAGTGGCCATCACTGCTTCTGCTTCTGGTGCTGGTTGCGCTGGTGCAGGTGCTGCGGTGCTGGAGCTGCAGCCTGTGCTTGGGGTAGCGCTGCCGGTCCTAGCGCCGCTGGCACCACCACCGCCGCCGCCTCCGGGGCTGGTGGTGTTGGTGGTGCTGGTGGTTCTGGTGGTGCTGGTGGTTCTGGTGGTGGTGGTGGTGGTGGTGGTGGTGGTGGTGGTGGTGGTGGTGGTGGTGGTGGTGGTGGTGGTGGTGGTGGTGGTGGGTGTGGTAGTTGTGGTGCTGGTGGCGGTGGTGGTGGTGGTGGAGAC